ACCACTACGAGCTAGATGTTCTATGAAATTACCTATGTATTTCCTCCAATTATGCCCCGTAGCTCCGCAATGGTAGAATGCGCCTATCAAATACCAAACACAAGGTCGACTTGGTAACTTCAAATACCCCCACCGGATCACCATCACACAGTTTGCTGTCTATCGATGTACAATCTTCCTTTCGACGTTACATCTTGGCCTCATGGCTACTCTCAAACGAGTTTCAAGAATATGGACGAGAATATTAGTCTTGTGGGTACCGAACTTCACTCCTGAATTGTAGTTCGGTTACCAACCCTGGCACGAGGCTTTAGTTGCCAAATTGTTGACATCAAAATCTCGGATCTTCAGATAATTAAAAGATCCCATGCGAACGACCGGGGTCCTAGGACGGCTTCGGTTTCCCGATCTACAAGTCCTATCATAAGTCGAGTGATCGCTAACTAGGGCGCCATGCAATCCGGCAGGGATGAATTCCGTACCTGACAACCCGAATCCAGCACGTTAGTAGCACAACAGATTGCCAGCGACAAAAACCGTTCACAGTATTGCGCTGCAGATCCAAGACACGAAGAAACATATTGCGCTTAGAAATCAATTGTTCTGAGACTTGACTACTGTTCTACCTAGCTTCTCACGGCTCTCCGCATGAACGGATGTAAACGTGAACAAACAGCTGAACTACGTACCGGAGCACAACCTCTCGAGTCTAGTAGTACTATTTCACCCTTCAGTCGCTTGTGAAGCTCTTTAGATCCGTTACTCGAGCGAATTTAGGAGCCAGCTAATGATTTCCTAATTTACGCTGAATGGCTAGTCGAAATTCACAGGTAACACATCCGAACGAAGGGTGCTGCCATTTCTTGAAGCTTAGCTACACCCGATATTTCGGGGTCCCCAAAGCCTCGTGTTGCTGCGGAAGTTATCATGCAGGGGCCCCCTTTCCGGCCTCATCGTCGTCAGTATTTTTCATTGGGACGATCTTGAAAGGTGCGGTTTGCGTGAGATATCGACGCGCAAATAGCGTGAACTACCACGCCTCACTTTTCCGGGGGAGCTAGTTTTGTGGTTCGCCCTCGAAATGATTTTCGGCTCACGCCATGCGGCCCGAGTCTCTGGTCCCGGTCCGGTCCCAGGAGCCTGGGTTTGATGACACAGCTTTGCTGCAGCTAGCTACAGCTAGCTGCCGTTGCCCGTTAAGCTGGTACGCGCAGTACGCGTTGACCGGTCAACTATGCAGTACTTACTTGAATGTAATGTCGCCCGCGAAAAATCAAGCATTCTGCTATGAGAGCAGCGAATTTGAGATAATAGAAAAGACTTCCTACGGAATCTTACAAAATCATTTCCGAGCTTCCACACGAAGGCCCATGCGCAAATCATGTACTGTGGCTTAGGATCGTCCTTAAGCCTAGCTAACCACTGGAGATCTCGTTTTAGTTAAGTAGATACTAATTGATGTGTGATATAGCTAGCATTCTCCAACACGGACTTTCGACCACCAATCAACTTGTAAGCACTACGACTATCCACGGATTGAGCAGCCCGCTGAAACGCGCAACTTGACGGCCAATACCTAGGTATGGGCGTTATAGCATCCATTCCAGGGATATATTGCCTCCAAGGTAAGAGGCAGTGATAAGGTTGTAAGATCAGCTGAAAACCCCTTTCAGCATCACAGGCAGAAGAGGGTGTGTACCAAATCAAAGCTCTAACTCTAGCTCGAGAATACTAGTTCAATAGTACCAAGAAAGGGAGACGTGACCGACGCTCCCCTGCTGTTGAGTATTGTTACCAGGCTCATTCAAAGTGCCAATAAGGCTTCATCCCGGCGTGTTACCAACAAGGGGGGATCTTCGAGTTCGAACTTCGGCTTGGTAAATTTCTTTTCATTTTGCCCGAAACGGCTTCGGCTGCCTACAAAGTTTGGTTCTGAATATTCCAAATTTGTCGAATTGGACCAGAAACACCCTCCCCTTGCTCGCGATCAATGCAACATCATTCCTCGATTACTGCTTCTCGAATGGCCGGACTAGGTAAGCGACGCTCCGGCGGCAAGGGCGGTTCCCGCGATCTGGGTCTGATATGTGTTCCCCGACGATCGCGCATGGGGGTCGAGCAAACACGTCCGGGGTTGTCGCCCAAACAGACGCGTCCTAGGTACGCCAGCCCTGCGAATGATGCATCCCGTCGCTGCCGTCAGCCGCCACAACACGGGGGTCAAGACCCTGTTCCTTTCCCTTCGAGGGGGGGGGAGGAGGCTACCCTAATAAGGCTGCTGTAACTCCGACAGCGGCGGAAACAGGACCCCTGGAACGCCGGAGAACGGTTCAATGCGTGCGCGCGTGTGCGCACGTACATTGCTCTGGCTATAAGTAGCTAGGCAGTTACATCATCCCGCCGTAAGGGGACCATCGTGGTAATATCCCGTACTCCCGCCTTGCATATGATGCCTTATATACCGGTATACATACGAGAACATGCAACCGTTTGACCCAGTAACGGGAAGGCCACGAGGTCGTGATTGTCGCGACCCGCCCTCCCTGCCCGGGTAGCTATGTAGCTAGCTACCCCTGTCGCATATAGACACGCATCCACACATACATACATCAATACCTACCTAACCTACTACTAGCATACCTACATATAACATACATACGGCAGTTAGGTATCGTACCTCTTACGCCCGCCTGCCGCTCTGCTAGAATTCCAAGAAGTGGGAACAACGTGTCCATTGGAAGGAGATGTGGCGTCCGCATATGTCGTGCACCCCACCCCCCCTTGTTCCCCGGCGTGGCTTACCCTTACAGCCTTTAGAAACCTTCCGTTCTACCAATTTTTTTCTTTCTCCAAGTCCGCGCATATAACGCTATGATGCGGATTTTCCGCGCGAGGCTTGCGCTTCCCTTTTCCTTTTTCTCAGGATCGCCGCTCTCGTACCTGGAACAGTGGGCACTGACTGATCGTCGGCTACCCGCTGGCTGGAAACGACGCTTGCGCGGCGAATGGGTACGGTTTCGTTATTTACCGACGGAATTTAGTACTTAGGTACATATTATCTGTATGTATGTACGTGAGGTGGGGACGAAGGGGAGGGACGTAGGATGGGATGGGGAGGATGTACAGGACCTATTCCCATTCCCCCCCCCCCCGTGCGCCCCTATCCACCACCACCACCCTACTTCTGCAAGGCTCTGCAAATAGGTGAGGCTTGTTAGCTTCCCTGCTTTTTTCGCCTCCGTGGACTGATTCCGGCAGAAGTCCAATGCGTGCCCGGCTCGCCGTCCGCGATGCACTTCACCATTCCGGATGGGTACGGCTACTGCAAACCCTTTTTCCGTCACCTTCTTCTCTTCTCTCCCCTTCCTAATACGAGGTGCTTCCCGCCTCACTTGCACGGATCTATGTGGCCTCGTCGCTAGCGCGTACCTAACCGTCGCTCGTGTGAATGGAGGCATGGTGTAAGTTTCTTTTCATGCCCAAGGGGGCGCGTCACAATCTTACTTACTCCAATGTCCTGAGTGGGATAAGCGAGAGGGAATGGAGATGGTGGGTATCTTTCCTGAATGCCCTTCGCCGAGCGCTTGATATTGACATGGACGGCTATAGTCTTCTGGGACTCATCTCGTATCCTTCAGGTTCTTTTCGCCGGATAAGGCTTCATGTGGACTGCATCACATAGACCTTACTGCTTCTGGGGAATGTTAACGCAGTGCTGACGGCTCTGGTGAGGTTTAGATGGAGACGGGTAGGTACAGCTGGTATACCGTTCTCGACGGTGCGTGTTTGTGGGTCATGCTTGTAAGGGTTGACTTGGCTAAGGGCATTACACGGGGCTCTCTTCATAGCTATGTGGATGGAAAGGGGTGATAGCTCATTGGGGAGCTCAACGGAACTCATGACTGATGTGCAATGATGTAGTCATGTCGTTTTACCCGAGTGACAGATATGCTTGTCGAACTACGAGCTTAGAGTTCTATTACTGTTGTATACAAGCAAGCTCGGAAGGGGAGATCTCATGTCTCAATGAATTTAGGACTTCAAAGTTCAGGACTTCAAATAACATTGACCGGCCAAGATGGACGTGAATCAGTTTACCAAATAAGTGATCGTATGTGGTATACCTCCCAACACGCTGAAAGTGAAGCAAGGATATATCAAAGAGTGGAAGGTAGTTAACATCCATAGCATACCTTGAATTCATTAAAGGGGTTTCTTTGATTTATTTAGCGGGTAGTTTCCTACATGTCCATCTTAACTAGATGGCGAGAGACTTGGATCAGATTGCTCTAATTCGCTAATGATCATATTGTACCTCTCCGGATAGGCACCACTTCCTAACATTAGTAGTTATATACCTTACAGACATGGAATAAATGCGAACACAATCTATATACTTGGACTTGTGTCGATGTGTTGAAACCTAAGATGTAGAGAATTAATATAGGAACATAAAGAGGAGAAGAGCAAAGTATTGTTGAAATAGTTAATGGTGGCATATACTCTAACCTAGCAGTTAATCCCCGTTCCGTTCCGCTATGGTAGATTGTTCGTGGAAGTAAGTAGAATTTGAGTTGAAGATAGTTCATGAGTTTCTTTCTTCGGTATTATTCTTTCAACTACGGCGGTATACCCTATGCAACTATTTGATGGTACATTGTTAATATTTAATGATTCATATCAGTTCATCTTTAGAAGTTGATTAAGGTTAGGAATCAAGAATAATATGAATATGTAACTCATTATGATACCAGATAATTTCAGCTACCCAGGTGTTTAAGTTGTTGTTTGAAAATTCGCATAGGTATAAAAAAAGATTAGCTTGATAGTCCATGAACAGTTGAACCATGGCGACATGACTTTCACACTCTCATGTACGCCACTGTGCAATTATAATTCCTCATAGCATGCGAAAAGAAGCCTGTTAAGGTTAATATCCATGTAATTTGAGAAGCATAAAATGAAATTATAAAAAAGACAAAAAGGTATGAAAAAAAATGCACCGTACCCTGGACTCGAACCAGGAATTTTCGGCTCTATTACAAGATTTGCATAGAAGGCCGACGAGTTAGCCATTTCTCTAGTACGGCCTTAAATAATCAAGCCAACTCACCAGCTGACCAACTGTAATTCAGGTTGAAAGTCAGAGTTGATATTTGGTATTATTAGGAAGTATACAGGCAGGAGCAGACGTCATACCAGATGTAGCTTCTCCGGGCAAACACTTGATATACAAACACTAACACAGCATGAAGTGGTTGCACTTGCCCTTATAAGATAATAAACTAAGGTAGGGTGTATTTTTAACTTGAGGTAAGTCCCATTTGCTTATTATTACATTCTACCTACCCAGGGTATCCTTTACCTCCTATACAGCTTCAGGGGTTTTTCTCTACCAATGTTTATTACCTACATATGTATACATATATACATCTCTATACTTAATTTGATTGGCCCTTGTTGTTCCCAGGGTATCAAGTTACACAGAATTAACGTAACCGAGAAAATCCCGTACGGCGCAAATGCGAAATTGAATTCGGCGACGATGACCTGCGCCATATTATTCCTCGATAAATTGGATTGTTTGGTGTTTTGAAACATATACATATATCAATAGCATTGTAATACTTTGTCATAACCTAAATTGTTTGCCGAGTCTGACTATTACGCATCACCTTCTGAAGCGTATGCTTGATTTGCTATCACATGATACCACCGGAGATCTCAGTCGACGACGCAAGCGAAATGGTTGTGGAAATAGATTCAAGGTTCACTGATACAGGAAACCCGAAGCTAGAAGATGGAGAAGACATGCATCTTGGTCTGAATGAAAGAAACTCATGGTGGGATTCAAATGGACCACACATATGCTATAGCCCGTGGGATTCTACAACTTTCTTTGCTCACATGATGGAAAGCGAAGCTACGCGCATGTTTAACAGGGAAAGTCGCGACTGGTACATCACTTGCTTATTAAAAATCATCTCGGCCGAATACGAGGTAACGTCCTCTCATCATCTCCTCATTCGACCAATCTAACTTATTATTAAAGGCACAGCCTTGTAAATACTTCAAAAGGATATCCTCGTCAATCTACGAAACCGAAAGACGCAGGCTAGCAAATCCTAGCCATGTTCCCAGCTTAACAGATGACTCGACGCTTTCCGATATTTCCGAGCTTTCAATGTGAGAGCATGTATGATATGCGTTCATGACTTGAGTACTAACGTTGTACATATAGAGTTCCCCAACTTCAGATATATATAGATGATGCCTTGGAGTCTCATGGAGAGGCCCAACTTCATCAGATAAATCTAGATGATGCCTTGGAGACTCATGGAGAGGACCAACACATTATAAGCCCAAGCAGGTCAAGAGGGTACAAAAACAAACCCATAGACAATAAGGATTGCTGGACTATCGCCACTGAGCTCCCCTGTTCGGAACTCGAAGGATCTCCAGACGACAAGATGAAAGCAGAGACAACGAACAGCAAACTTCGTCCTCAGAGACAACATGTAAAAGAAGTTGTTAATGTACTGCAATTTAAAGCTGATATCCAGTCACAGTTCCACGGGTCGGACAGTTCCAAGTTACTTGACCCTGAAACTTCGACGGACACGTCATCTAGGGATGAGGGTGAAGACGATGATGAGGAAGAAGACGATCCTTCTGAAACCCTACACTGGGCAATTAGACGGGCATTTCATACACACCTAGCGGATAAGATTATTGATTACCTGCTCCAGCTACCACCAGATCGTAAGGCACGAGTCTACGAGTATCGTGATATATCCCTCCACGACAATGATGAGCCTCCCGAATCTTGTCACGCAGTGTGTCACGAGGGCAATTTTATGTCTAAAAAGAGGAAAAGGTCAAATTCAAAGCCACGAATAAGCTCGGTCAGCAAACAAGTGCAAGAAGGTGATGGCGAAGAGAATCAAATCGCCGTCGACCGTCGTCCTTCGGCAAAACCATCTGTCCCATTATTTGCCTGTGCGTACCACATCTACGATAGTTCTAGATATGGTCCAAGAACTACCGCACGATATAAGTCGTGCGGCGGCCCCGGGTTCAAGACATTGAACCATTACAAGTATGCACCGATAAATCCATGAGTAAGTATATATAGACTAACTGAATATAAGACGCCACCTGGAACGGAAACATATCATCCAGCAGTGTTCTCGATGTGGACATATCCTTGAGTCACTACAATCCCTTCACAATCACTTAGCTCAAGAGTTAAGATGCACCATAGTGGAATTCGAACAAGAAGGCATGTCTCAGCAAGCATGGGAAGGTGTGACCGCAGCCTTTAGGAGAAGTCGTGGAAACAATAATAATCCTTCGGATGAGGAACGATGGTTCCGTGCTTGGGATTCCTTATTCCCTGAAGTGGATAGGCCACCTTCGCCCTGTGAGTCGAAGACCCTAACGTTACTCACTTCACTAATACTTCTGACGCTATGTGAATACACCTTGGGGTTTCGCCTTACTAACTACAACCGTGTATAGACTACGAACAACATTATCCTCTTATATTCACTCGGACCCAGGAAATCTTTGAGGCTGGTCTACCATCCCTACCACTAATTGCTCAGAACCCCAGTCTACGAGATGCGGTCGTAGCGTTACTAAGAGGTGCTATCGACGCTGCTACCCAAAGTACTCCATTTGAATTAGAAGCCAATGACATCAGTCCCTCCTTACCTCCAGTCCCAGTACCGACGTCAAACACCAATCTAGACGACCATGTACTCGACGAAATTCAAGCAAGCTACATGGATGTCAATCCACACAGCTCCAACCAATCAGCATCCCATAGACTGCTAGGTTCAGCTGAGCAGTCGGGCTATGCGGGAAATGATCCATCTAACTATGATCTTTCTTTCCTAAGTTGGCTTAATGACGATGCCAACTGCGGCGGTAAGCCTTCTTATCAGCTACAGATATTGGCGTTCGCAAATGAGAATACTAATGAATTTCGTAGAAGATCAAGGGAATCACGCCTAGGTCTTTTCATATGGGGCGTCATTATTTGAATATGTACAGTATATATATACCTTATACATACTAAGACCTATCTTGGATAGCATACCTAGGTATCTATTTAACCCTCAGGGTTCATTTTGAGGACAGGACTTGGAGTGCTGTAGATTTGAGTTACGTGTATATATGCTATTCATATAAGCAATCATAAAAGTGAATACATTTTATACATATACCTACAGAAGGTAACATGTACGACTAAGGTTGCATATTCAAAGCTGACATCGAACAGTAAACCTTAATGCCTTAATTCAACACCATTAACCCCTTTTAATTAGGTACGTTCAACTTCATTTTCATTTAGATGGCCTACATGTGTGTTGAAACCTCACTCCGAGTTTATCTCTGAACTATCTAGAAGTAATGCATATAGCTCTTTTCTATTTTTTCGGACTGAGGCTTCCAAAATTCACTTATGGTTACGACTCTACTTTCCTAGCATATGATACTCCTCATCTATAAATTTACTACTCCCCTGCCGTATATCCGTAAGTCTGACTACTAAAACGCCTCACTTTATGCTACGGCCGCCTCCAGGATGGAGCTGGGCTGGAGACTCCATACCTTCCATCCCGCGAGTTCTGACTAGTCTGGAAGGAATTATAACTAATCGTGGTGGCGACAGCAGATGGGGAAGGTGACGTAACGGATGTGAAGAAAAGACCAACAGTACGGTATTTGCTATTTGATAGAGGGTCCCGATATTCTGATTCAACTTTGTTGACGTTTAAGTTAAATATGTGGTCCTTGATATCAGGTAATAGCGGAATATATAGCCTGTGGAAACTGTGAGCAACAGTGTACGGGAAACAGTCATAGACTCCAGGGGTATCTTTGGCTTGGGCTGGTCTTGCTGATCGAAGGACAGAGGTTCAGAGGTCACTCTCGCAGCTATCAACGTATATTTTAGACATAATAAATTCATGTAACTCCATCTATATTCTAGCTTACAGCGAAATACCATTCCTTGAAGTTACTCAGACTAGGAGCTATGAAAATACCTGATAAGTCATGTTCTATTTATGCCTTTAGAAAACATTTATTGGGCCAGTTTATCACCTTTGCTCCCAAAAAGACTGTAGAGTGTCAACTTGTAGAATGGATGTAGTTATTTATACCCTAAGAGGAGCCCACAGGTAAACATGTTCGATATGGAAGGCTTACCGACCCTGACCCAGACACAACTCTCGATGACGACTGGTCATTAATGCCTCGAGTATAGACTAACATTCTATTTTAAGAGATCTAATATGGATCTAATTAATAACGTAACCCGCTAACCAAGACGCTTGATGCTTCTTAGTTTTCTGTTTCCCACCGAAGATATACATACCTCCCTCAGATCACGCAGCAAATTCGCGCTCGTTCTGCGCTCATTGACAACCATAATATTAGCGACTCGTTCCTTTTATATCCTTGTACGTGCTAGGTAACGATGAAACAGCTTCGAATTGGCGGTCAAGGCTGACTGCATACACACAAACTCATTCCTTTGCTGATCCCCTCCTTGATCCGACGGAGCCGCAACTGCTTTCGAGCCTCTTCACAGCAATTGCGCTCAAAAAGTCATTGGCGATACTTTGAGTATAATTGATGCATGGTGTTCGAAGACTACGCATCAAGTATGCCGATGTTCGCGAAAGGATGGCCGACCTATTATATTAGCAGGCATCATGCCCGCGGATCCGGCCTAATTAATAGGAAGATGGATGATCCATCATCCGTCAGCAACGGTTAGCAGCTGTCAGAGCTGACACACTGCATATTTAGGTCCCGATCGACTGGTCCGTCATAAATGACTAAATTTATTTCAGACAAAATGACTCCAAGGGGTGATTGTCGGCATTTTCAATCCTTCGCCTTGCGGGGTTGAGACAATTCCTTCTTTCTCCCCCCCCTTATTAGCACCTAGCCGTGACATGCGATGGTACAATACCATGGAGACCATGCTTATGGCTGTAGACGCATTTTATACCACCACCAATACGTACGTCGCCTGCTTGCATTAACAAGTGGCGAGTAGTAAATCGGTGGC